ACCTCTGACATGTTTACTCAAAACCTTTCTTATTCTTAGACAAACAACACTTAGGAAAATGTTTTCCACTTTTTTACACTGACAGCCTACAGCAATAGGCTGTAAAATATTGGTTTTCTTTATTTATTAATCAAACGTGTATAGCAGCTCATGTCACAAAAAGTGACTATGGGAGGTGTATAACTCTCAAATAATACAAATATAAGAACAAGAGGTGTAAAAAGTGTAACAATCCACATTAAAAGATAAATATTATGAAAACAAATATACAAACTTTAAACAAAGAGAGTGGATAAAAATGGTCACCTTAGCGATAGAGCCATCTAACCATATCTCCATTTGCCTGGGTACCCTAAACCTAATAACATAGCCAGGTCTTTAGAGACTTATAGAATGTCAAAAGGGATGGAGCTAATCTAATTTAATCTTGGAGAGAACAACCATAAGGTGAGTGCAACAGCAGGGAAGGCTCATCTCCTGGGACTCACTAAATGTAGGTCTCTAGCTGATGCAGGGGTGAAATTAAACCACCTCGGCCCATCTCTGGAGAGGTAGTAGGGACAATTTGAATTGGTAAAAAATCGCCTCTGGTTGCTATTACTATTATACCAAGTATACCAAGCCACGCCCACAGAGCCGATAGGGGAAAATTTTGAATTTCACCCCTGAACTGATGAGTAGTCCTTCTCTGCCAGGTCTGATGGGGTAGGCAGATATAACTGGGGAGATGTCATTCCTCAGATAGTCCAGTCCCATGCCATGAAGGGCTTTAAAGTTTAAAACTAGCACCTTCATTTGGATCTGGAAGCAAACTGGCAACTAATGCTGCTCATGAGACAGAGGTATGAGATGTGTTATTCTTGGAGTGCAATAATTGTCCCTGGCACTTCATTCTATACCAACTGAAGCTTTTGGATACTCTTCAAAGGCAGTCCCATATAGAGTACACTGCAGTAGCCCATTCTGGAAATGACTAGCCCATGAATAACTTTAAGCAGTTGAATGAGCAGGTGAAGTCTGAAATCTGTAAGCAGGGCCTGCCAATCCACAAATGGTGCACAAGATGATGTAATATAAACCAGGTTGGCTCTTTTATTGACATTCAAATCATGGGTGAGGAAGGCCTTATTACAGACTAACCTGGTACCAGTAGCTGGAGGCCAGGACCACTGACAGTTCACTAGTAGGGCATTAGGATTGAGGTCAAAGGCCTGAATGGCAGAATTTAGCCTCCATAGAATAATTTATACATTGCCTAAAGTGTGATTTTGCTAATGAACTCCAAAATAAATCTACTCACTATACCATGGTATGGTATGTAGAATGTGAAAGGAAGGTCATAACTCTAGATACCTGGCAGGGAAGGACCAGCAGGCAGAATGCCTCCCCTGCCACTTCTAAGAATTATTTCCCAGAAGAAGGGAATTTGAATGGATCACTCAATGGCTCCTGTAAATTTTTTCTCCAATCAGGAACATGACAGAGGACTGGAAAGATTTCATATAATCCTTAATCCTTCCTATTTTATCCCTTACCATTCCACATTTTTCTTGGCGATAAGTAAGCAAGAGGGAATTCTGATGTTAGATTTCCTCCCCAAAATTAAGGCCCCTTTTCCAATATCTAAGGGAGAACTCCGAGAACTCTTATTAAGTGAAATGACAAATATGACATTAAATTAAGAGTGGCCCAAAGTTTAAGTATATGAAAATGATGAGTCTGTAAAGAACAATAGGAAGTACTTTATAATTTTCAGTGTCAGCCCCATTCTGTTCTAGAATCTCTTATCTTTCTTAAATTCTAGATACCTTATAGAGAGAAACTTCTAAAGCGAGTTCCTATTGCTAATGAAACATTCTCTGCTTCTTCTTTGGCCTTGGTACGTTGGACAAGAAACCCTTCTGATGTACAATACTCCCAATCTCCACCAAGAGAAAGGCCATATAGCTATGCAAAGAGGAAGGAGGATCTGGATAATATGTGGTTTTCATCAGACCGTCGTTTAACAAGGTCTACAACTCAGTTGTATACACTTGACTCAGAGTATGCAATGCATAGGATTCACACTATTGTTTTAGACTTTAGCATGGTGCACTTTGTTGATTTACAAGCTTCTTGTTTATTACGGGAGGTAAGTCTCTTGTATTGTTTTAGAATTGTATTAATCTAAAATTTTGATTTAGTATATATATCATCATCTCCTTTTTTGACCCTATAATCCCTTGTGGGGTGGAGTCTGGGCAACTGGATGGAGCAGAGCAGTGGTGGGATTCAAAAACTTTTACCACCGGTTCGGTGAGCACCGTTTGCATGCGTGCACACACTTTGCATCCACGTGCGCCCCAAACACACAGTTTGCGCAAGCACAGAGGAGTTTGTGCAGGCGCAAAGGTGTTCCAATTCACCTCCTGCGAGCCTGCACTCTCCCGGTAGCTTCAGCAGCTGCCGTACGGCACTCTTCTGTGCCGCACAAAGCAGCTGCGCTTCAAAAGCAGAAGATAAAGGTGAGTATGGGAGCCTGGGCAGGCGGGCAGGCCCAACAGCGAGAGAAAACCAGTTTGGTCTCCGCTGCTCATCGCCGCTACCGGCTCGGCAGAACCAAGCCGAACCGGTAGCATACCACCACTGGAGCAGAGTGTTTACTGGACAGGTGGCCTTCCTGTCGCCAATGCAGGATTTCATTCAGCAGATAAATTCTCATTCTTCCCAGAGAGAAATACCTGCCTCTATCTAGAATCATACGCACAGCCTCCTGGTTGTGAGGCAAGAGGTCTACCTCTAGGCCACCAAACCACTCATTGATTTAGTGTATGTATGTAAGTATGTATGTATGTATGTATGTATGTATGAATTAATTAATTAATTATGTGACAGACTCTGGAATTTATAAGTGGATATCTAATAGGCAAGATCAACTACAAGCAAGAACCTCAAGGTTTTGTAAGGGCCTCAAGGCCTAGCTCTGCCAGCTGGCTTGGGGCCCCAATGGGAGAACAGCACAGTGGAGGTGGTTGATCAAGTAATAACAGATCCCACCTCCCTCCACACTATTCACATCCATCCCATGTGTCATCTGATTTTAATATTTAGCTTTAATTTAATTTATATATGTTTTAATATACTGTATAAATACATTTTTATGACTGTTAGCCACCCAGAGTAACTCTGTGATAAGATGGAGTGGCCAATAAATTTTTTATTTATTTATTTATTTATTTATTTATAAATAAATAAATAAATAAATAAATAAATGCAAGCAGCACAATCAAATATAATTAGTATATTTTTTACAGTTCCTTCATCTATATATTATTTTTCTAGTAGTAAAAAGATGCTCCATCTACTTATATTTAGCCATCCAGATTTGAAGGTTTCTTTTTAAAAATATGTGGTCTAATAGTTAGTTAAATATGCATTCAGTGTTTTGAAATAATGTATTATGAATCTCAGTTAAAACAGGGTTGAAGAAACTGGATGAATAATGTGGTTTTCCAGATATATACAAAATTGATACTTTCCCAAAACCTTGTGACATCTAATTTATAAGCATAACGTTTTAAAGAGCACACATTTTGAAATGCTATAGGTAGTCTGGTGATACTGATCATGTAATTTGATCATAAAATAAATAACAAGAGAAGCATGAAAGGATTGGTTTATTTTTCTCTACCAAACAGAAGCCCCACGGTGGAATGAATTCTCATGTTTAGATATCACACAGAGTATAAAATTCTGACAGTAATATCCATGTCAGCATAAAGCAAAAAAAGTGATACATTTTATGCAGGAAGCACTCGGTACAGTCTGTCCAAATATGAGTACAGTTGTGTACCTAATGCATAATTTGATTAGCTAGTCCCGGATGGATCTATATTGATTCCTTTTTGGTTAGAAAAATATATGACCTTGACTGGGTCTTATCTACCTCAGTGAACAAGACACTAGAATCAGGACACTATGCTTTGGTTAATCCACCAACAGTATCAGTAACCCAATGCGCTGCAGGAAATCAAACACAGGAACATCCAATTCCTTCTATTATCTAGACTGGTTATGAAGCCAGTCACCTAGGCCACACAGATCTGCCTCATGTTTTCATAAAAAATAGATTTTCTTTTTAAAGTCGTACTGTCAACTTGTAAAGAATTCCTATTGTCTGTTTGTTAATGTTAAATAATGTTAAACAAACATATTCAGCACTTCACCCATACACTACCTACTTCTATTTGAACTGTCAGAAGATTTGGATATTTAGTAATCAACTGTTGTATCTTACTATCAATAAATGTTAATGATTTAATATGAGGGGTTGTTCTGTTATTATGAGATAAGATATTCTGAGATATATTTGCCAAGTGAACAAAGTTACAGCAAAAACATATTTGCCTTAGATATGTAAGATACATGCATTATTTCTGGACATCTCTTATATGACGTTGTTTACCAAAGAGGTATAAGAATTTATATAACTCTCCCAAGTATAAAGGGCATAACTAAACTCCACCAGATTTTTGGGCTGATAATCTGCAAAAGAAAACTAGATTCACCACAATAGAAATACATTTAGCTATCCAAATCCTAGCCATAGGGCTATGCTGGTTTGGAATTATAGCAGTGATTATAGCAGAATGCTGGTCCCTATGAAGCATCTTGAAGAAGCTCTTTTATTGAACTGTTTCAACCTCTGAAAGTGAAATTATTACTAATTATCACATAATGGCTTCCTTTATAGCTCTGTCATGTCTTTCAGAACATTGGAATCTCAGTCCTGATAGCTACTTGTCATCGTGAGTATAGACATAGTAATTATCTATATGCAACAATTGTGGGCTATAGCATGAACCATAAAATAAATAAAGCTTTCTTTAAAAAAAATAATAATCATACAACCGCATGTAATATTTCTGCCTTTTTATCTCACAGCCACTGTGATAAAAACTTTTGAAAGGCATGATTTCTTTGACCAATGTGTTACTAAAGCCCGGTTCTTTCCTACTCTGCATGATGCAATACTCTTTGCTGTGGAGCCAAGCCTATTGGAAGAGATGGTTCCAGTGGAAACCCAAAATCCAGCTCCTGAGGACGTGATGGCAGAAATGCAATTAAATGATGAACAGGTATACTTCAATGGAGGTTCATGATAAATGTACCAACATGATTAACACTGGAAAGCCTTCGTTTCAGCCAATGAAATATTGCTGTATTATAACTACAAGGGGCATTCTAAAGTACTCCCAGCAAAGATGATTTGCAATTCTTTTTAGTTCATCCCTAGGATTCTGCTGAGCACTTATATTGTTCTGCTACATGCTTCATGATTCAGATTTCTTCCTTGTCATTGACATAATCTTTTTCAAGGTTCTCTCTATCCTTAGATTAAATATGTCAGTGATGATTATTATAGTGCTTATCCTCCTGCTGCCAGTCCAGCGTGACACTCCGTTGTGTTCCTAGGAAAAACTCAATGCGCCTAAGAAAAGCCAATAAAAATTCTCCAACCAGAATCTTCCATGGATTTCAACACAGCTGAGATGCTCCCTGTTCAGCTAAATGTACAGAGCAGGAGTGCTTGTGCCGATTCTGTCAATCTGCCGATTTTGCCAGCCTCAATCTGAGGGTTGCACATTCAGGGAAACACTTATGCAGTAAAGAGACATCCATGTATAGTATACAACCCTGATTATTTAATACTTCTAGAGCAGAGGTCCACAACCTCCAGGCCATAAACCGGTTCCAGTCTGTGGCCTGTTAGAAACTGGGCCACACAGCTGGAGGTGAGCAATGGGCAAGTGAACGAAACTGAAACCGTTCCCTTCTCCCAGTCCATGTAAAAATGGTCTTCCATGAAATGGGTTCCTGGTGCCAAAAAGGTTGGAGGCTATTGTGTAGAGCATCTACATGAATACAGCTAAATAGTTTCTCTTTATAGCTGCTGTGCTGAAGTGAAAACATCGAGGATGAGGGCAAGAAGGAACATTACTGTGTTGTGATACATATATTGCAAAGCATTGCCTTTCCCACTTTTCCGATTTTATCTATGTACAGAACAAACGCAGGATTCATATTGCATGGGAGTAGCATAGGAGAAACTTTTCATGTAAATATCTATGGAGGTCATCCAGGTCATGGCTGTCCCAAAGGTGCTTTTTCAAGAGGCAACTGGACTTCCTGGTTTTTATTTGAAGACATTTTGCTTCTCATCCAAGAAGCTGTTTCTGCTGTGACTGGATGGTGGGGAATCCAGTCAGAGCTGAAGAAACTTCTTAGATGAGAAGCGAAATGTCTTTAAAGAAAAATCAGAAAGCCCAGTTGCCTCTTGAAAAAGCACCATGGGCACTTTTCATGTAAACTTTCTCAAGCATAATTGAACCATTGACTTTATACTTTTCCTCATAGTGATGGCCTTCTAGTTCAGCTGAAGGCTTTGATATTTATTTTTAAGTAACTAAGAACACCGATTGCCACTTTGGGCTAAATGAATAGTGTCCTTCCCTTTAAATGTTGATTTCTGTCTTAACTAGATTGAACTAATTATTTTAACTTTGCTAAATTAATCCTTTATTTTTCTGGAATCATGGCAAAGGCTCTTGTAATTTGCATATGTAAGATCCTGGTAATATTCAGTTTGGTGGATAAGAAAAATGGATATGTGAGAGTGTATGCATGCATATGTGAGAATTTCTGTATATGTAGGCATTGTATATTTGTGTAACAGATAACAGATAATCAGAGTTGGAAGGGACCTTGTAGGTCATCCAGTCCAACCCCCCACCCAAGCGGGAGACCCTACACCATTTCTGACAAATGGCAGTCCAATCTCTTCTTGAAAATCTCAAGTGATGATGCTCTGACAACTTCCGAGGGCAAGGTGTTCCATTGATTGATTGTTCTCACTCTCAGAAAGTTTCTCCTTATTTCCCGGTTAAACCTCTCCTTATTCAGTTTTCATCCATTATTCCTTGTCTGGCCTACAGGCGCTTTAGAAAAAAGCTTGATCCCTTCCTCCCTGTGGCAGCCCCTCAAATATTGGAAGACCGCTATCATGTCTCCCCTGGTCCTTCTCTTCACTAGACTAGCCATGCCCAGTTCCTGTAACCTTTCTTCATTTGTGTACATTTTAGGACATAAGAAGTTACCACTCTGGGAGAAGTAAGCGATCGGAGAGGACTCAGCAGTCCACTGGAATCAGAGACGCCCCCACACCCAAAACTGTTCACAGTGAAACCTACATTGAGGAGCCCATATCTGATCTTTTCCGCACATTTTCTCTCCAGAGTGACCTAGAGGGTATGTCTCATCACCCTGTTGAAACATCTCGCCTTGAGGACAATGAAGATGATCAAGAATGGGAAGGAAAGTGGAATTATTCCAGAGATATGTAAATTATGAGATCTATTCAAATTAGCTAAATAAACAATAACAAAAATATAACACAGTTAATCTGGACTATGTCCCCTGGGAGTAATATCCTAGGTCAAATCATTAGCTCCTTTTTTGTTGATATTATTGCAAAATGATGCAACATTCATATAACCAATAAATTCATTGAGAGAATATATATTTTCTTTTAAAAGAACATTTTGATTAGGCAATGAAATGTACTATAAAGCTGTAAATATGAAAATCATTTTTTATTAATTTATTAATTCCCAGGGGTTTCTTTTTACTGTGTAGGTTTTCTAGCTTCCCAAAAGAAATTTCTTACTTAACTGCATATGGTTTGAAGTTTTAATACTTTAAATAATACATTTTGGATGAATAAATGCTGCCATATTTTAGATTCCAAGTTTAAATTTCTGGTGTCTGATAAGCAAATTTGATTATTCTCCAAAGCACTACAGTTAGGTCAGCTTAAAGGAATATTACATTTTACTTTCAGATTCAGATAAGTATGCATAATACCTATTTAACACTTTCCAAAGCTATTGCAAAATTTTATGTGAGCACCTTATAAGCACATGTTTAGCATTCTTTGGAACGTGACTAGTATTGTGCTATACAGAAGGTTGATTTAACTGGGAAAGAGAGCTGTGTTCTTCCATGTGTGTATTGCTGTTAAGAATGTAAACATTACCCTGCTGGATTGGACCATCGATCCACTTACTGTTCTTATATTGGCCAATCAACTGTACAAGGAAGTCCACTGACTCACTGAAGACATTACAGATTTTCTGCTGCTTCAGCAAACAAAGGGACTCACACAGCTATAACTTTACTGTTTTTATTACTTTGGTGATGGAAGGCAGTGTAGCGTGGCTACTCTACAGTCCAACTCTAAAGCTATCCACAAAAAAATCCTTCCTGGTGCTGCTAACTGCAGAAAAAAAAATAGATTTGCTATTGGCACTGCCATTACCTTGCAGCGCTAGACAAGACTGAAGTTCACATGTTATCAGTTATTCCCTCCTGCTTCATTCCAGGCTTTTATTGGACATGGTTTAGTGCTCTTCCAGAAGAATATATGTGTTCAGAAATAACGGAATCAACACAAGCACAAATAACAAAACTGATGGTAAGACAACTTGACCGATCATTGAATACATTCCATGCACCAATATACAATCACCCAACCCTGATCTACATATTTTAGGGGTCTTGATTATTGTTTTCTACTAGTAGATGACACTTGGAGTGAGAGAAAGCAAAGACAGGACAAGCCACCAATCAATTTCCTTTGGTTTCACATTAAAATGGTCAGGCCAGCATCAATCACTAGCATTTTGACTGTATTAGGATAAGGTATGGCCACTGGTACAAAATGTAATACTGACATACTCTTCTGCTGGCTTATGGTTTGAGAAATAACTTTGCAATGTGAATCTGGAGATTTGTGAAAACTAATTATATAAAATAGGAATTTTTATTTGTGTGTGATTCTAGATAATTGCTTATTTACTAATCCATGGTTAATTAAGCTATGGCTTAGGGTATTATATGAACTAGGCTCTGCTGAATATAAAGGTGACAATTCTTTTATTGCACATATCATATCCCATTTTCTGCATCTCAATTAAAATGAAAAATATATGAAACAATATGAAAACTACCAGTATTTAAGAAACAATTCCTGTAGAACATTGGCTACCACTTAGTATTATACTTTTAGAGAACCATACAAGGATTATATATCTAGTAATTCCTTGTTGAGAGTTTATTGAACATCACAGGTGTATTTCAAAGCTTTCTGAAAGCACATTTAACAAAATACAGTAAATGATTTCTCTGTCTCATTTTTTATTATATTGTGATTGTTGTATGCATTACCTGACAATTGTGCCTGTAGGATTATTCCAGGGGTATCATTCATTCTTTCAGTTTAATATGAGAAACACTGCCAAGATTTTTAAACACATTTCTTAAAAAGAGTATTTAATGGACCATTGTCACTTATTTACTTTTTAATGGTAGATTTTTTCTGTCCATGGAAGCTCACAAACACAGGCCTCAATTTTATGAGAACTACTTTTTATTATTGTTCAATCATTGAAAATTTCCAAGTCTTCACAGTGTTAGAAACAGAGTTGGTCCCTTTCCAAATAAAGTTACTTAATTTTAGTAACATTGCTATGGAAGAAAAGTGTGGATGATTTCACGCAATAATTAAAGTTATATTTATATAAATCAGTGCTTCTCTAAGGCATCTTTTCAGTGCTATTTGGGAGTAAAAACAACTATTAAATGGTATGGATTCAACAGTCTTTCTTCATTCATAAAAAAGAACCTTTGATTCAGATAATGAGATAGATTATTTTTATCAATTCATCCTTATTAGCAACTTCTGTCCACATATCACATATGCTATTATGGATACCTCACAATCTCCTATAGCAAATCACAATTACAAAAGGGAAAGGAATGAGAAAACTACAATATTAATATACTTCTGGAGCAACCTAAAGTTGAATGAAACTCCATACACACATTCTTGAGAAGTTCTTATTTTCAGGAATACATGGGTGAGTGAAATTTTCAATAACTTTATGTGGATGCATACAGGTAGTTCTTGACTTATTTGAATCTAAAATTTCTGTTAAGTGAGACAATTGTTAAGTGAGTTTTGTCCTATCTTATGATCTTTCTTGCCACAGTTGTTAAATGAATCACTGCAGTTGCTAAGTTAGTAACACAGTTGTTAAGTGAATCTTGCTTCCCTATTGACTGTGCTTGCCAGAGGGTCATAAAAGGTGATTACATGACCCCGGGATACCGCAACCATCTGTGATGACCCGGGGTGTGGCACAAAGGCAACACAATTAAATAAGCAAGGAGAGTCCCTTTATTATCTCCAACTTTGCTCCCAAAGTCCAGGTTAACTTCGGCTGGAGAAAAACTGTCTCAGGAACAGTCTTTAAGTGGAGAACAACTTGCTATACACAGCTTCCCTTTTTAACACTGTGTTCCCAGCTGCAGCTAATGAAGGGAATCAGGGCCCTTTCCTCCCCCATAAGCCACGCAACTCACATTGCTTCCTTCGCCGTTCCTCCCTGCATGTCCTAGGATGAAGGGGAGATGGACCTGGGTCTTCCTCTGAATTCCCTCTGCCTTGCTCTACCTCTCCCCTGCTCTGCCCAGCGGGACTTTGCCCTTCCCCAGTTTCTTCCACAGCCAAAGGAGCCACATTCCCACTCCCTGTCAGCTGCTCGGCCTCCCCTGAATCAGATTCTAACAGGGGCATGGCACCATCATAAATAAGTCAGTTGCCAAACATCAGAATATTGATTACGTGACCATGGGGATGCTACAACGGTCATAAGGGTGAAAACTGGTTATAAATTACTTTTTTCACTAGCATTGTAACTGTAAACAGTAAATGAACTCTTGTATGTCAAGGACTAGCTATACTATATTTTTCTAGCATAATCATTGCTTTTATGTTGCTGCCAGGCTAAGATTAAGTTTTTCTGTTCCGGCTTCTGTTTTATAAATAATTCTCAAGATAATGTAGATTATCATTATCATTATGAACATTATCATTGTTCATGATCGTGATAATGTTCATGATAAATCTTACCATCAATAAGTTTACAGTACTCCTTGACTAACAACCATTCGTTTAGTGACTTGTTCAAAGTTACAACAGCACTGAAAAAAATGACTTATGACTGGTTTCACACTTACGACTGTTTCAGCATCCCCATGGTCACATGAGCATGACTGCTGGCATCTATTTATAATGGTTGCAATGTTAGGGTGTCACGTGATCACCATCTGTAACCTTCCCAGCTGGCTTCCCACAAAAGCACCTCAATGGGGAAAACCAGATTCACCTAATAACCACGATTCACTTAATGACTGCAATGATTCATTTAACAATTGTGGCAAAAGGTCATAAAATGGAGCACAACTCACTTAACTGTTTTGTTTAGCAACTGAAATTTTGGGTTCCATTGCAGTCATAAGTCGAGGAGTAACTAGGGAATTCTGTCTGAACTGAATTTTGCTGCCTAGAAATCCTACATAGATAGCATTTCATCTCACTAAAATCAATAAGTGACTTGTAAGAAAAATAAATAAAACCTGGCCTTTCACTTTCCTTTTGGGTATTAGTTTCTGTATGATTACTTAGAAAAGGTACTATGCAAGAAACAAATACTTATATTTATGGAATGGAAGGTAGCTCAGGTAATCTAAATGTATTTATCTGTGAGCAATATGAAGACCTACAACAATGATCCAAAAACAAATACAAAAATGTGTGTGCTTTAAAAAAATAATCAGAGTTCCATTTTTTTCTTCAGAATGAGCTGCCTCACAAGTTCGATGATGTAAGGTTTTATTTCCTCAACAGTGACAGTAGAGTCCCAAGCATTTACCACTTTCCCATCTGGATCTACCAGATATTTCCAGAAGTTCCAAGTTGGCTCTTTTCCAGTGGATTCTACATAAAAAAAGTTTAAATATCAGAGATTTTAATCATCTATAATTTGCATATTTGCAGCCTTAAAATACATGTAAGATTAAATAAGAATATCCAAAGGAAAACTAATATTAAATATTATAGAAATAAAGATTAACCCAGATCTTACAAGAGTTCATTTTTGGTTTGGAAGAAAAAAGTGCTTAATGCTCAAATGCTTCAACAAAATGGAACATTTCGGCAAAAAGAACCTTACAACTGCATTGATCACACATTTAATTATTTTTTAAATTAAAATCATTTTGTTTCCAATTGGTAATCTTTAGATGTATTGGATTACAATTTCCACCATCACTAGCAAACATGACCAATAGGCATATTTTTCTTTAATCCCTTATCCCTTTTCTCCATTTCTCTCCCTTGCACCTCATTGTTTTTATTTTCTTTTTCTCTTCTCTCTCTCTCTCTCTCTCTCTCTCTCTCTCTCTCTCTCTCTCTCATATTAAAGCAATAACAAATGCTTTGAAAAAGATTTGTGCTTGCTATAGTTTTTTCAAGGCACATTATATTGAGTTACATGCAATTCAGGAATATGGTAACTATGAGGTAAAGTATAAGGTAACTAAATTTTGCTGAAATCCTACTAAAAGTAGTAACCAAAACAAATCAAAACATCAATTTATTTTACTATATAAACTTAAAAGAAGCAAAGAAATTATTGTTGAATTCATGGTAATCCCTGAATCTCTCAAAAGTAAGCTATCACTGATAGCGATCATAAACCCGTCTACAGTTTATAGGGAATAACAATAAAGTTAGTATTTTCAGCTGTTTCAATCTATTTTAATACTCACCAATTAAAAATTTAAAGGCTGGATTTGCTCCGATGCCCTTCACTGCTATCTTGCTGAACATAGGAAATGTAACACTATATGTTTGTTGGACAAACCTCTCAATTTCATTATTACTGTTGGGTTCTTGCTGTCCAAACTGATTGCAGGGAAATGCTAGCACATTAAAATGATAAGAACCAATCTCTCTCTGCAACTGTTGTAAGGCTTTGTAGTGACTGTCGGTATACCCACATTCACTTGCAACATTGACAACTAATGATACCTAATGGAAGGAATAACAAAAGTACAAGTTATAATACATCCTGCATTTTACTTTCAGAAGTATAGCATGCTTTACTTCCTATATATCCCATTTTCAGAAATGGAGCATTTTGAGAAGAATATTTTGCTTTTAGACTTTGCTTTCATAATTAATATAATACATATATGGGTAGACAGTTGGTGCAGTGGTCAAGGCATCAGTTAGAAACCAGGAGACCATGACTTTAAATCGCATCTTAGGCACAAAGCCAGCTGGGTGACCTTGGGCCAGTTACTTTCTTTCAGCCCTAAGGAGACAATGGCAAACCACTTCTGAAAAACCTTGCCAAGAAAACTGCATGAACTTGTCCAGGCAGTCTGAGATACAATTGAACAGAAGAAAAAATAATAATACATACACACTGATAAAGTAAATAACTAAATCCTTTTGAGACCCATGTCAGTTTGAAATTAGGTATGTTTGCAATTATTTTTCCCCTCTCTTCACTAATAGAACACATTAGCCATTGGTCTGTGGACAAATGTCTTATAAAATGTGCAGTCGTCTGATAAATCTTTTACTGTACAATCCAGTTTTATTCTTGAAGTTAAGCTGAGGATACCTGTATGGAAATCAGAGGCATTGGTGGAGGAGAGAAAAAATATTACTGCCTTGCCTCCTTGAATGTGTATGTGATAGAAATAGATTACACATATGCATAAGAGGGACCGGGTTTTACATGCTTGTGATTGCCATCTTGATATTTTTTGACCTTTCATGGATGCCCATGATTTGTTGTGATCACATTTTGGTGTATTGGTGATAAATTTTTAAATAAATAGATATTTTAATAGGGCAACAGTGAAAAATGGTTGCAAATTGTTCAAAATTCTGTAATAGGTAGGTAATGAAGAATCATATCTGAGTAGATAATAACAGAATAACAGAGTTGGAAGGGGCTTCGGAAGACTTCTAGTCCAACCTTCCTTGCTCAAGTAGGAAACCCTATACCATTTCAGGCAAATGTTTGTCCAATCTGTTCTTAAAAATCTCCAGCGTTGCAGCACCCACAACATCTGGAAAAAAACTCATTCCACTAATTAATTGTTCTAACTGCCAGGAAATTTCTCCTTATCCTAGGCTGGTTCTCTCCTTGATTAGTTTTCATCCATTGCTTCTTGTCCTGCCTATTCTTTGGAGAATAGATTGACCCCTGACTTCCGTGTGGCAGCCCCTCAAGTTTTGGAACACTGCTATCTTGTCACCCCTATAATTTGGTATGCCACTGCAATCCATAAAATGAAACATGGATTTTTTAAAGCTATTCAGCTTTTTAAAAGTCACTAGGGCTGTGCCTTTTGAAAAATCATCTATCTATCTATCTATCTATCTATCTATCTATCTATCTATCTATCTAT